TGGTTCATTCATACACTCAATACATATGGTTGCTACATCACACATTCACATCGTTCAATAATGTCCATGCAACGTGACCTCAGAGAATGTTCAAGTTCACTTTCACATTTAATTACATTTTTCAAAATTTAAATACTCATGAACCCTAGAAACCCACAAAATCCTGCCCATATTTGATCTTCTCAAAAAATATGCACATCAAAACAATGTAAGCAATGGAATTCAAAAATCCTTTTAAAAACGGTACATGAAGAAAGGGTAAAAATGTCACGAAATCCATTCCAAAATTAACAAATGGGATCTTGTGGATCATATTACCAAAAAGAAAGGACTTTCCAGAGTATTAAAAAACGAGGACTCCTTAGACTAAAACTCTCTCAAATGAGATTTTTCAATAATTTTTCCATATATAAATAGGTTATATATGATCAGTATATATATATATATATATATATATATATGTATAAAATATATATATATAATACCTTTTATATACATATATAAAAAATATATATAAATATTCAGATTAATTATATATAATTAAATATCACATTAAATTAATTAAATTACACATTAAATTTTCATGTAACCACACAATTAATAAAGTCAAAAATAAAATAAAGTAATAATAATAATAATAAATAAATAAATAATGAATTACGAAAAAATCAAGGTCACTACATAAAAGGTTTCGGACCCCAATCCCTATCGTCCTCTATCAGCAAAATGGGGCTATGATTAGAAAAAAATCTAGATAACGCCCAAACTTTATATGTGTTCCATTCCAACCACTCAGGGTTAACTAGAAATTGATCAATCCTACTTCAACTTTGAGAATTTCCCCAAGTGCACTTCCTACCCAACATGGGGATGCCAACCAATTCAAGGGTACTAATGACATTACCGAACTCTCCCATACCTCTATCTCTCCTAACACACCCTTTTCTTTCACTAATATTTTTAACTTCATTAAAGTCCCCCTAGACACTATGGATCAGGGAAAACAGACTTCAAATTAACTAAAATTCTCCACAACCTCCTCCTATTCACATCTTCATTTGGTGTATAAATATTACCAATAACACAATTAAGAGAAGAGTGCATAGTACCTCCCAAAAGGATGAAACTTCTAGAGCAGCAACACTCCTTTAAGGAGAAAACCTCTGGATTCCAGATGCATAGAAATCCTCCAAAAGGGCCAACCGCATCTACAACCATGAACTCCACCGAATCAATAGGCCACAAAGATCTAACAACATTGGCATCAACACTTGAGCGTTTTGTTTCTTAAAGAAAGACCATGTCTACCCTTTTCAACCTCAACAATTCCTTAACCCTTGAACGTCTCTCTGCCTTACCCAACCCACGAACATTCCAGGAAAGAATGTTCATAACAACATAACAATTTACCAAAAAGCCCCTTAACAAGTGCTACACTTAAGCACCTGGCCTCACCTCTTGACCTTTCACTCTATCAATGTCTTCGTTTTCCATATGAATTAGCCAGCTTCATGCCCAGTCAATGCCAGTTCCAACTTGATTCTCATCTGCACTATGACCTCAGCCTCTTTTCTAACTTTCTTTTGCTTACATACGTTATTGTTAACAGAGAAAATTGACAAAGAAGCCATTACTGCAACCAATGCACCTCGTTGAAAGCCACTTCTGAATGGAGCCCCTCATTTTCCCTTTCTTCTCTAGAATCTGCCTTGAACACCAACAGTGTTAATCGTCTCCTTCTCACTGAGCTCCTTTTTTGTTCTTGTCCTATTACTTTCCTTAACTTGGGCCGCAATTCTATTGGCCCAAGCATATGCACTAGGTTGGGACACTTCTCCTTCATCTTCACTTGGGCTAAGCTCACCATCACTATCTCCCACTTCCTCAATTGGGTTTTCCTTCTCAGCAGAAACTGCCTTATCATTGTCATGCCCTTTACTATGCCCATCAAAATGGGCTTCATCCAAAATCACTTCCAACGATATGTTGGGCTTAAGTAAATCACTTTCACTTAAACTTTGCATAAGCCCATTCAGTTCAGTTGATGCCTCCACTGCCTCAACTGCTCGACTTCCACTCCCCTTAAGCTCCTGCAATAATGATGTTTGCATGCTTACATTGGGTAGTGGATTAACCACAGCAGTATTACAAATTCTCATTTCTACACCTATCTCATTAACCATAGAAAGAGAGGCAGAATTAGACATGTGCTCAGACCCTACCCCTACTGCCACATCATTACTCCTCTTACTATCTTCCATGTCACGACTTATCGCCACATCAGCCACAAGGTTGGCCACATCATCATCCTTCTGTCTGCTTGCATGGTTCGTTGTAGAACTAAGATCACCACCACCCATGGACTTTTTTGGTACGTCCACAATTTCGACTACACGAACATGATACATACTGTCATCTCTTTCCATAAGCATCGTTTTATCGATACGTTTTAGTTGAGATGTACAAATTCGAACTTGCCTACACTTCAGCGACTCCATGCTTAAAACATTATGATCCAGCTCAACAACTTCACCGCAAGCTTCACCAATTTTTCAAAAATTATTAACATTCCACAGATGTAGAGGCACACCAAAACAACTTACCCACACAACTCTTTCATTATCCAGCTCACACCTTTATGCCATTCAATGATTGACTCGCACCACTCCATAATTCAATCCCCAAAGCTATGCATCAATTGCATCATGTCTTCTTTTGATTTGAAAGTAATCAACGCATTTCTCCCACCACCCTCTGAGTTGAATATCCTTTAATCCTCTAAGTTGGCATTCTACTTTGAGGTCAGCGAAGTTGCAATGGGTTTTAATTTTAATAACTACACTCATTAGTAGCCAACTGGTGGCATATTCTTCCACCTTAATCTTGGTATTAGTGCCACTAACATTCATTCCTCCTTTCAAAACCACACCGTAAGAGCTTCTCCCTCTAACACCTGCCCCTGTTGATGTCAGTATCCTAATTGATTTCTGAATTGCTGCTCTTGAATATGTTGGTTCCTTATCTCTCCCAAAATCAGTCTTTTTCACCTTTAATGTTCTATCGCCACACCATACTCCATTAGCTTTCTGAATCGTTATTCCCGCTGCAACAAGACAATCATTACCTTACAAGTTCGAATCTAATTCGCGTTGCTTTTCTCTTTTTGTCAGGGATATAGACATCTTTGATGACACCAAGATTTAAAAACATAGTGAACAATCCTTTAGGGTTCATCGATTCCGGAATCTCATCCACAAAGATTGTGTGGAGCTTTGCTACCGGACCCTTCCTACCTTGTCTTCGTCGGAACACCGGTTTCCAGCCACCTTCGTTGGAACCCATCTTTTTGTTTTAATAACACAAATAGTTAACGGATCAAGTTATTGTTGAACCTCATAATACAAATTTAACAAAAATAATTCATTTAATGAATCATTAATTACTTATTTTATATTTACCAAAAAAAAGTTATTTACTTTAATATTATTTTCACTAAGAGATACTATGTCATTTTTTAATCCTTTAAGTAATTTCGTTCAAATGATTTAAAAAGTATATTTATGGCTAATATGATTTTTTTTTAATTTAAGATAATGTATTGTTGTTCATTATTTTTAATCAATTTATTAAAAAAATATAGTAATAGAATATAATTTTATAAATTAGGAAAATAAAATTAAGTTAAAATTTAAAAAAAAATTATAAATAATTTTATCAACTAGAATTTAGTTTATAAAATTTAACTTGTAAAAATAAATTTTTTTTTTCAAATCTTGGTATTTTAATTAAGTTTAAAAAAATTTCACATGATAAAAAATGACACATCATGATAGTACCAAAAAAAAAGGGACTAGATTTATGTTAAGATAATTTTGACATAAAATTAAAGATAAATTACTGTAAATCTTTTTAAATTATGACTTATTTGCATTTTACTTATCTGAACTTCAGAACTCAACAAATTAACCCCTTCAAAATATTATTTTATTATAGTTAATCTTTTTTGTTTGGATTTTATTACAATTTACAAAAAATCAGATTATGTGTCAAACACATGACACATTATTAAATTTTTAAAACAATAATATTCATTGTTAATTGTTTTAGGATAATAATATTATTATTTAGTGATTTCCTTTGCACTTTATTTTCTTCATCTTAGTGACAAAGTATAAACGCATTCACTAAGATAAGAATATTATTACTTTAAAAATTTATATCATATATTTTACACATTATCTTATTTTCTATAAATTCTTAATAGCATCTTAACCACAAAAAAATAAAAATAAAAATAACTATAATGAAATAGTACTTTTAAGGCAAATGGTAAATCAACCATAAGTGAATTAGAATGTCATGATAGAAATAGGACCAATATCATACAGACCCTACCATGTGGTGGCATGAAATACCTGGTCGTCAAGAACACTGTTTTAATGAGAAAACAGCAACCGAACCAAGTCAAGACTTGAGAGTAATAGTTTCAGTTTTTGAATGAATCGATGCAAAGCTAATTGGTACCAAACACAATCGTTCCTCTCTCTCTCTCTCTCATACTGCGTTGGCGTGCATCTGGAAGTAAACTAACAATATATATAATCCTTTAGTTCTTCATCAATTCAGATACAATCATACAACGACAACAAGAAATAAACCAAAAAAGAAAGAGAAAGAAGGAGACAGAGAGAGAAAGCAGAGGACGCCTCGGTAAAGAGCAACACTTACCCTCCCTCTATAATTCCGTGCATGTGTCTTAAATTCCAAAAGACCCCCAAAAAGATAAATGATACAAATCAAAGCAGCTATATGCAAATTATGCAATATGAAAGTAAAGAAAACATAGTGAGAGAGAGAGAGGTAGGGTTGTGGGTTTGGTATGAACAGTAGAGAAGTTTTTGCCTATCCATAAAGGACCAAACAAAACCCTATCTTTCTATCTTTGTTTCTACCAAACAAACATCTTTTTTGCATAAAGTGGAATTATATCAAACACATTGTCATGGCCTCTTCTTCCAAAACCAACCAAGATTTTGATCCAGCAAAACAACAAGAGGATGAGAAAGAGAGAGATTGGCTTGAGTTAGGTTTAGGGTTTGGCTCAGTCTGCAAAAACCCAGTAGATATGTCAAGCTCAGCTTCGTCATCTTCCACTTCTTCTTTGCCTTTACAACAAACCCAACAAAGATTAGAATTAGGGTTAGGGTTAGGGTTAGGGTTAGGGTTTGGTAATGAGTGTGTGGCTCTACCAGCTGGAAGTAACTATGATCTTTATCATCATGATCATAACATGGTGTCATCATTAGGTTTGTTCACATCACCATCATTGTTATCTTGGCCATTGCATGTAGATGTAGATTCATCAAATAGCTTTCTCGGCCTTCATGACCGGTTAATGCCGGTTCCAGATGATACCTATCATAGACCCCATCCTGGATTGTGGTTCACACTGCGCTCCTCAATCAACAGGTAACCAGTCTCTTTCTCTCTCTCTCTCTCATCATAGTAGTAGTAATTCATAATGATGAGGTTGAATGAATGGTGTTTGTGGAATTGCAGGAATGGAGAAGAGCTGCCCCAGTTAGCAAAGGCGTACATTAGAGTGAAGTAAGTGGTGCACGTTAGTACTCACGCATGATCATATCAAAGTGTCATGTTATAGTCGCTTTTTTTTGCCCTTTTTACTACTAGCAATCTTTTTAATTTCTACATGGTAATGATGTTGTTCAGTGAAATGAGTGAAAAAGCTGACGTTGCTTTTCTTTTCTTTTATTTGCTTTTTTTTCCTTCTTAAAAAGCTGACGTTGCTTTTCTTTTCTTTTATTTGCTTTTTTTTCCTTCTTATTTCATTCTTTTTTTTCTTTTTTCTTTTTTCTGTTTTTTTTTTTTGGGTACAAAAGAGATGAGAACGTGACAGTTTTCATGGTTAAGACATACCTGGTTAGAAAGCTTGGTCTCTCCAATGAAGCTGAGGTAATCACAACCCCCTATTATTTTAAATAATGTTATTAAATAAGTTAACTATATAATTGTATATCGATTAATATTGAATAATAACAATTAATATGTCACAAAATATTAGTGTAATAATTCTAAAACCTTGATCTATATATCATCCCATTGTTAAAATTTTGATTAAAAAAAAAGACACAATGCTTAATTGAATAGAATTTTACAAGATCCATATTAATGTTCATTTTTTCGAAATCTAGCTTATTAACAAGATCCAGATTTTGTATTTAGTTTTAGTGTTACTATATTTATTATGTACTTTTTCAATAATTATTACAAAAATTATACAAATCAGAAACTATGACAGAAAATTTACCTGAAAAGTGAATAAATACTTTGGATGATACCAATATAATCTCATCCATACAATTCAAATTCTAAATAAAATTCTGATTATTATTTTTTTAATTTATAGCATTATTGTTAACTTGAAATTACGAAACTTGCATTGAAGTGTATATCTTTGTTTAGAGGAAATGACAAGATTTTCTTGACGTTGATCAGTTTAGGCTAATGATGTGCCTGCCTTTTTAGCCTCCTGCATACATGCAAATCATGGGTATGGCCGCTTGCTTTAGGGTTTTTGATGGGTTGGAGTTTGAATTTTGAACTCACTCACTCATAAGTTTTAAAAAAATTATTAAAAATATTCGTGACATTATTTATGTGATATTCTTAATCAATGAGTACAACATAAATATATTAGCATTGTTTTGACAACTTATTAAAAAGTCAAAATATCACTACCAAAAACTCAACTAGTCTATGTATTTTTCTGTTCATTTTTTAATAAAAAATCAAAAAATCAACAAAAATAGCTAATTCTTAAAATAACCGTAAGTGAATCATCATTTATTTTCGTATTCTAATCACATAATAAAGTTGAGTTAATATGTCTCACTTGCAAAATTTCTTATTGTGGGTGTTTGGAAAGTTGTTATTTTAGTAGGTTATTTTAGTTTTCGACTATTTTAGTAGGTTAAAATTTTTGTATTTGGAAAAATAATTAGATTTTTTTTATAATTGAATATGATAGTTGTAAGAAAAAAAAAATGAGATAATTATGGGTTTGATGTGACATTGTCTTATTTTTTATTTTAGTCTATTTTGTCATTTTGTGAGTTTTAATCCAAAAAACTAAAAAAAATCTTTGCCAAACACCCCCATTATATGACTAATTGTGACATTGTACGTCGGTAAAATTTTAATTACTTATCAATAAAAAAAAAAGCTTATGATTTTATAGTTTAATGTATATATAGTTTACCATTAATTTAATTAAAATTTTTTTTTTCAAATCTACACTGTAATGATTCCCCTTGAATAATTATATTAATTTAAAAATAATTTTACAAATCTACACTGTAATGATTCCCCTTAAATAATTATATTAAAAGCTGTATAATTGGATGCTATCCTAGGTGGAAAGTAATAAGGGATAATTACAATTCAGCGGTCTTTTAAACAGTATTTACACGTACATGAAAAAAAATTAAATTTTAATTATTAATGTTATATAATTTACCATTATTGTGTAATTTGTTTTAAAAAAAAATTACGTTGAGTTGATGAAGGAAATTAAGAGTACGGTGAGATTGAGTGAGAATATTATTAGTATGGTGATATTAAGTTAGAAATGTAGTATAAAGAGTGTTTGTTTATATATTACCGGATTAGTATAATATTAATATATAAATTAATATTTTTAAATTTTTAGTATTTTTTTAATATTGTAATTTTTTTGTCTAAAAGATATAAATTTTGCTTAAATATTATTTAAAATTTTACTAATCCCCTCACTTAATTTCTAATCCCAACCCTCTATGGGATTGGTAATCCTTCTAATTTGAGGAATTACTAGTTCAAGGAATAGTTTAATCTCATTACTCATATTTCTAACTAAATACTCTTCAGATAGGCCCATCCGCGATTAATCTAATTCTCCCAAAGCCAAACAAACATGATCATTCAGTCTAGTCTCTGATGATAAAGTATACTCTACATTATATATGTATATATGATGATGAAATGAAAACACAGAACATTGCTAGCTAGTAGTAGTAGTAATCCATTTAACTTGTTGACCCTTATTGGAACTTTTGCGAAAAGTATAGTTCTTCTTTCTGACTACCCCAAGATTCCTAATAGGATTATTCAGTGTCACAAACACATCACATGAAACCTAGATGAGTCCCATATCATGTTTTTTTTTTTGTTTTTTTTTTTTTAATATTATTATTATTATCAGGAAAAGACAATTTTTATTGATGTAAATCACTAGTACAAGGAGTACAATCCAACACACATCAATAAAAAATAGACCTTGCTACAACATTATGCTTAAATAACATATCCCAACTAAGTTATAATCATGTGCTAAAGCTACAGACAACCAAAACAAAAGAAGATAACTAATGGAGAGAAGACTGGCTGGAGAGGAAAGGAGGTGTTTTTTGAATAATCATCCAATCTTAATTTATTGAATTTGAGTTATGATTAGTATTATAGTCACGATACAATGTAATTAGATCGTAACTTCTAAGTAGGGGAGATGAAGGGTATATGCGGTGAGAGGAACGGCAAGGGAGGAGAGGAGAGGCAAACGAGGGTTGAAGAGGAGGGAGAAGAGCGAGAGGAGGGCCTTGCAAGTTGCAAGTGAGGGTAGTTGTTGAGGGAGATGGCACATCAAGAGAGGGTGAAGAAGAGGGTTTGGCATCGGCGGTTGGCAGTTCCAAAAACTATAGTGGAACTTGACACCATCTTATGACTAAGGTTTCGTTTGGGAACATGTTATTTTAGTAATTTTTTGATTTTTTGATTAAAATATGAGGTAAAAAAAGCTAGTATATTTGGGGTGACTTTTTAGTTTTTTACGAAAATATATGCAAAAAGTAAAGAGAAAATAAAATTTTTGACTTTTTGGTATAGGTTATAGGTTTTTTTGGTTTTTTTAGTAACTTTTGGCTGAAATGTTAACTTGCCAAACGAGACCTAAAATATGTTTTACAATTGCATCCAAATTCTATTATACTGTTGTAATTTAACTTTATTAACAAATTGGCATTTTATAATCTCGACAAAAAAAAAAAAAAAAACTATTAAAATGTGGTTATAAGATACTCCACCTTGTACTTGGTGAATGATAAACAAGAACAAAGATCGAGAGTTCTAGAAAATGAGTATTAAAGAGAGCTCTAATAGTAGGTCTCATCATGTGATATAATATTTTGACTTGTGCTTTTGTGTTTTTTTTTTTGTTTTTTCACGTTAGTAGAGCTCTAAATCACTGCTGGTAAACAATAATCACAATAATTAGGCTTGCATGGAATATTGCTGTGAGGGGTTTTTTTTTTTTTTTTTTTTTTGGACTTGGACTGACCCTTTTGGGTAAAATAGAAATTTTAAGTTTAGGTTTTATTATGCTGTGTACCTCTCTTCTGGTATGTGCATGTCTAGGCCTGTTTTAAAGTAGTCGACCAGCACTGCCTGCCTACTCAAGTGTTTATAGAAAAAGTAATGACACATCTCTTAATTTTAAAATTTTAATTGAGTTTTAATAATGTGACAAAAAATAAAAAAATAAAAATAAAAAAAATAAAAACTAAGGCATCACCATCACTATGTAGCCCACACACTTAGAGCTCCCAATTTAGAATTCCCAAACATTTTCTTATAGGAATTGGATTGTCTCCTCCAATATACGGTGGACTTGTACATTCAGTTCTGGTCTGGATTCATCAAAAGTCTTCTTTGATTTTTAGTATTTGTTTAATTTATTTTGTAAGTTTCTATATAGATGATTTATTAGTTATTAAACTGATAGTAGTAGTAATATGATTTAAACATTTTTTAAATTAGACACTAGAATGATTTTGAAAATAAATTGTTTTTGTTTTTTCAAAAGCAAATATGATGAAATTATATGTCTACATTTATTGGATCAATGTGATTTTATTTATTTTTTAATCAAAGTAACCTAAAAAATAAATAAAACTTAGACTAGACATGACAGTTTATATAGGCTTCATTTGAGAAGTGGGTTAGCTTTTTGATTTTTTAATTTTTTTGGGTTATTTTAACCTGGGGTTAAAAAGCCTGATTTGGAAAGGGCTTTTGGCTTTTTTAATTTTTTTGTGAGAAAAAGAATGTAATGATTATGAGTTGAATGTGATATTTTATCTTATTAGGGCTAAAAAGCCTATTTTGTTTTTTGTGACTCTTTTAGTCCCAAACTCACCCAAACCCACTTCCCAAACGATGGCATAGTGTACTGAAGACAATTTTGTCCCAATTATATTAGTGGAAAACTGTATTTTTATGTACTCTCATGTTTATAGTTGCTTGCTTATTTTTGAATAGTATTCACAGTGTTTGGTTTGAGTTTTTTGGATTAAGTTTTTTTAAAATTGACTTTTTTGGTTTTTGTATTTTTTTGTTTTTAGTGAATATTTTTTAAATTTTAAACATTTTTTTTACATTTTTAGATGCACCTTATTTAGATGTATCTAAAAAGTAAAAAATTTGTGAAAAAATATTTTAAAAAATTAATAAATACATAAAAATACAACAAATGTACTGAATTCTTGTATTTTTTTGTATTTTTAGTATTTAATGAATTTTTAAAAGATTTTTTTTATAATTTTTTTACTTTTTAAGTGTATTTATGTTAGGTGTGTCTAAAAAGTAAAAAAATTGCTTAAAATATTAAAAAACTTCAGTAAAAACAAAAAAACACGAAAAATAAGAAAGTAGAATTTTTTTAAAAGTGTTTTGAAAAACTGAAAACCAAGCAAGGTGATTCATTTTATCTAATGAAAGTAAAAGCTTTACTTAAACAATACACAACACAACAAATAAAGATGAAAACATATTGATGCTTGGTGCATTCTTATCGCTTTATTGATATCTTTCTCTATATTTCTATACTTTCTTCCATCAATAAAATTTGTTACTTTACTAATTCGAAAAACATACACAACACAACAAAGAAAGGTGAAATAAAAAAAGTTTCCAGCGGGCAAATGAAAACGAAATTAAAGTTAAAATAGTAGTTTCCAAAAATTTAATAGGAAAAATAAAGAATTATAAAACTTTATATATAGATGCAACTTTTTAAAACTTTTTATTATTTAGGGTCACCCTCACACTTAATATTATTTTTGAAAAAAAGTTATATCTCTCACCATGTTGACTAGATTAGATTTGCATGTAGGTTGATATTTCATGCATGGGGCAGAAGTTGTGGCAGTGGCAGACTTTGAAGCAAGTAAGAGATGCAATATGGTTTCCAGGGTTGGTTGAATCTCTGAATTATTCATCACAGAATTCAGAATCAAATGCCATGTTTCTATATCAGCATCATCATCTCATGTCTTTAAATTATGGAAGACCATGCTTCTTCAATTAATTAATTAACAATAATTGTGCTTATGCCTAATTAATTTTACCACTTTTTTATTTTTTTATTTTTGGGTCGGGGAGGGGAAGGGGAAGGGGATGGAGGGAAAGCAGATCCTGAGGCTCAATCCAGATTGATGAGTTAGCTTAATTGAGTTTGAAGCTTTTTCACTGTATCACTTTTATTTTTGCTCTCACTCTAGTTCTCAAATTGTATAAATGTGGGAAATATTGCTTCGTAATGTTTTATATATTATTGTCTTTCGGCGCATAATTTATTGGATGCAAATAAGGTACCGCGTGGTAATGAGTCTGTTTGTTGCAGTTTCTTATAAATTAATGTTGATAATCAAAAAGCACAAGTCGAAAACACCATTCTTCCTTTATTTAGATAATTCGTTTTTTCCGATCTATTTTAGCTAATCCTACCTAATAAGTTGTAAAGCATCCGTAGTAGAGCCCCTAAATCACTCCCTTACCCATTTTAAGGGTTGGGACTCCCTTTATATCACCCCATCAGCTTCTTTATAAGTCATTCAAAATTAATATTTGTTACAATGACTCCTTATTTGTAGAGAGTTACTGTAACTCTCTCATATCTGACAGTAATCGTCCATTCAGATGTTCCAGACGAGTGATCTGAGCAAAACTTGCTTTGCCGGTCGTCCACCTAGATGTCCAGCTGGTCGACCGCCCCATCACTGCTCTGCTCTGTCTGCTCTTCATTTTTGTCAAGCTCTTTATTATGATCATCATCATCTTCTTTATTTGGGTCATTGTTCCAGAACAACGAAGGCAAAGTTTGGGACTCAACAAAGGCTTCATCAAAGCTACGTGGCTCAAAGGGTCTGAACCCTTTCATGGGATTGCTTGGAAGTGCAAGTCCAAGTGGAAGCTCCATAATTACCATATATATATTCAAGAACAACAACACAAAAGTCAACACAAACTTGTATGTATAAAAGATGGGTTTGATTTGATCCGATCAAACTAGAAAGTAGAGATATGGATTTTAAAAGGAAAAGTGAAGGAAGATGATGAAAAAGGGGAAGAATAGGAAAAGAATATTTTAATAACATTTTATGAAAAGAATAAGGAGTTTGATGGGGAATTAAATGAAAAAGTGATTTTGAAAATAGGGAATGAATTTTTTAATAAAATTTTAAGGTAAAATTTAAGTAAACTGATAGGAACGCTAATAAAAGTTGCAAAAACTTTTTTTGACACAAACTGTAAAAATAAAAATAAACTATACACATTTCATAAAAATTATACAAAATATCCTTAATGTCATGTGATGCCTTCCTCTATTATGAAAGACGAACAAATATTGAAAATAATCAGCTTGTTTGGTTTGAGTTTTCTGAATTCACTTTGTATAAAATTAAAACTTTTATTTTTCGTATTTTTTTGGTTTTTCATTGAATTTTTTTAATATTTTAAGTTTTTTTAAAAAAATTAAATACACTTAACATAAATATACTTAAAAAGTATAATATTTGTGAATATTTTTTTTAAAAAAATTCACTAAATATAAAAATACAAAAAATATGAAAATTTAATATATTTTTCGTATTCTTGTGTATTTATTAATTGTTTAAAATATTTTTTTACAAATATTTTACTTTTTAGATACATCTAAATAAGGTACATTTAAAAAGGTAAAAAAAATTTAAAAATATTTACTAAAAACAAAAAAAATAAAAAAATAAAAAATTTAATTTTTAAAAAATTAAATCTAAAAAATTGAAACCAAACCTAGTGAATAGTATGAGGATTGGTTTGACAGATGCCTTTTTATTTTTTATTTTTTATCTTTTACTTTTTTAAGAATAAACTTTTATTATAAATAGTTGATGCAACGGTGGTAAAAAGGATACTATGAGCAATTTTGAGAACACGATAGTAAGCCGCGTCCAATCATTGAATGCGGATGCTAGACGCTTGTTATTTTTGCCAAAATTGATTTGGAATTGTGGTTAAACTGATTAAATTGATTTGGGATTGTGGTTATAAGCCACAGGTGAAATTAAGGAACTAGCATTCATTTTTGGTCAATTTAATTTAGCCATGTTGACAGGATAACATAGATAAATGTTACGCAAATAAACACACAAAAAAATAATTTTTTATCAATTTCTGACATTAATTTTTGAAAAAATAAAAAAACTTATGAGTTATTTGGGGTGTCTTACATAAGTGTACTTTTTGTCTTTTTAGACTAAAAAGTTGAGGAAGAAAATATGATTATTGGATTAATTTTGACTTTTTATGAAAAAATATATATTAAAAAATTGTATAAACTAGTGTGTAGGAAAAAATTAAAATTGAAATTTGTGCAACCATAATTTTTTATTTTTGATGAATAGTGATAACTTTTTAATTTTTTAAATAATTTTTTTACTTTTTAACTTTTTTTTCACTTTTTAAACTTGACCTTAATTAAAAATAAAAAAAATAATTTTTTACCATCTTCCTAAACCTTCCAACATAAGTTCAAGAGTAAAAGAAAAAAATGGGGACCGACTGTTTATCAAAAGTACTTTCCCAATAGCGCATGGCCCACCTTTTGACTTGCTTTTGTTGTTGAAAAAGTTTGGTTCGATTTGGATTTTTTTTTTTATTGAATTTTTAAAATTATATTTGCTTGGCTCTCATTTTTTAAAAACAGTTTTTAAAAAATTTTATACTCTTATTTTTCGTATTTTTTTGTTTTTATTGAATTTTTTTAATATTTTATGCAAATTTTTTACTTTTTAGATACACCTAACATAAATACACCTAAAAGTAAAAAAATTGTAAAAAAAATCTTTTAAAAATTCACTAAACACCAAAAATACAAAAAAAATACAAGAATTTAATACATTTTTTATATTTTTATGTATTTCTTAATTTTTTAAAATATTTTTTCATAATTTTTTTACTTTTTTTGATGTTGATGATATTGATGATTTTGTGCCTCTCAGATCTCAGATCTGTGTTGTTGTTGTTAATGTTGTTATTCATGTTGTTGAAACAAATTTAGGCCGGGTAATTTTCGGGGTCGGGGAAACCCGATCCCCGATCGGGGGTGGGGATGGGGAGAGTAATAGGTTTCCCGTCGGGGATCGGGGCCGGGGATGGGGCAATGTTCACCATCGAGGATCGGGGACGGGGAGGGTGATCCCCGGCCCCGCCCCGCTCCGTTGCCATTCCTAACTTGAGAGAACGAACAACGCGCCGGCGAGGAGTCCGCAGCTGCTCCGAAAGAGCGATTTTCTAGGGTCTTTGTAAATGGGCTCTAAGTCAGCTCAATTTTTTAATATATTTTATTAAATTATTTATAATTATAATTTATCGTTAATATACCTATATTTTTTTTTTTCAAATTGTTCATACTACACCGAAATGATAAATAAATCAAAAATCTTAAATTACAACACTTTAAAAACCTAAAACAAATTTTTCATTAGAGTTTTTCCTTTTGTTCACCTACAGATTTCTCGGTATCAATTAAACCCATCGCTATTAACGATGCATAATTTGATATTTATTGTTCTTTACTGCTTCAATTGGGATTTTCGGAAAAAACAAAAACAAAAGCTTATTCTTTATATACGTTCCAGTTGAAAACTTATAATGTTGTTTTGTTTTCTTGGCTTCTTTTGAGAAGCTAATTAAAAGTCACTATTCAGTTTTTAATTAATTTTAGATCATATCATTTCTTTTATTTTTAATATATATTTTTCAAAAAAAGATAAAAAAAAAAATTTTAAAAAATAATTTTTAACTATCTTCTTTTTGGCTACATATTTTGTACAAGTCAATCATAGTTCGGCACGTGACAGAATAAGGGCAGTACGGGAAAATAATTCAAATCTTCAATCATAATCACACACGTGACAATTAGCATTGGTTTGTTATAGATCTGCATAACACTGAATCAGCAAAGAGATGCAAGATGACGTGACCTTAACGATTACTCACATATTTAAATTCACAATCAGGAGGGAAGCCTAACTGCATGTGACATAGTTAAGCTAGCTGCAATGAAGCATAATCAGTGATCGTGGAGAGATGGTTCGACAGTTAGAAGTCCATTTCGACGGTTGTCATTAAGAAGTATAAATAGCAGAGAAGGCCTGGAAAAATGTCCAGACTCAGATCAAAAAAATCAGTTTTATTCTACTTTATTTCTTTTCCAGTTTTACATTTATTGTTCTTTACATTTCTGTACTTCAAATTCCCGTGCTGCATTTCGTTCATAGGAATAGTTTTCAAATAGCTTGTTGCTGTAAACTTCTACGAGGCTGATTTGGATTGTTGTAAGTCTTTCATTTTGCTCAATGAAATACTACAATTGTTCTTCATTTAATCATTGTTTGCTTAATTCTCTTAAACAAAGCCACCAATAAAAGCCCTCTTCATTGAGGTTGAAAAGAATTAAAACACAATCGTCTAATAATTGGTTGGTAATTAATATTCTATAAGGACTGATTGATCCTTGCTGGCACGCTCATAATTACAAAAATAACCTTTGAAAGTCAAAAAGCCAACACTTCTCAAAGAGAAATGTTACGTATCTCAAATATTCTACCAAATATTTTACAAAACCTCTCACATAGGGTGGGACTCACACAAATCCACATGTGTGTGAGTCTCACACCCATTTGAGAGGTTTGATAGAATATTTTGAGTCCCCAGCATAACTCTATCCCAAAACATCCATTGTTTCTCTAAGTTTTTGCTATGGTGGATACGATGGAGGAGAAGCTCTGGAGATCACTGTGTATGATTATTTTACCAATCATTGTAACATTGAACTTATGCATTCATGCCATGTCTTGATGTTGGAAAACCAAAAGTGTAATATTAGGAATCATGAAAAAAAATCATAAAGATAATTATGGAAAATTTTTTATCTTTACACATATAATAAAATATCACACACTAATTAAATAATGAAAAATCTTCACAATGCATATTATGATATTTTTTTTACGATTCCAAACATTATTCCAACCAAAACGGCCCAACTATTTCCCGCCACTCCCATTCCTTCTGCACAAGATTTTGATATTGTTTTTGTTCTGGTATTCGAGCTTTGCACTTAATTATTATTTTCATTTATTCTTTTGTTTTGCTTAAACTTTTTTTCTATTTTGTAAGTAACAACACCATAAGAAATAATTATATTTATGATAATTGAAAAGTTTTGATGGGGTGAATTGGAGTTGTTGAGTGAAGAAGAAAATAAAGAAAAAATAATTAAAAATTTGAGAAGAAGATAAAGAGAGTTAAATATAAATAATACGTGATTTGGGTGTACCATGATAAAAATATTTTATTTTAGGGTTTATTGTGTATTGTCCATATTATTAAGGCCTCGTTTGGGAATATTTTTTTTAGTAATTTTTTAGTTTTTTAACTAAAATATGATGTAAAATATGTTTGGGATTATTTTTTAATTTTTTACGAAAAGATGAGTAAAAAATAGAGAGAAAATAGAATATTTGACTTTTTAGTATATGTTGTTAGTTTTTTGATTTTTTTAATGACTTTTTGAGTTTTAAACTAAAAAATAATGTTGTCAAACAAGTCCTGAATTTATGATATAATAAGAATTAAAATTTTAAATAAACTTATTGAGTTATTATTTTGGTGCAGATAAAATCACCCGTTTCACTCAGTTGGAAGTTGGGAAGATTTGAGGGCCTTTAGACCCATGACAAAAAGAGAATTGTGGGCTAGGAACGTTATGCCTGTGGTTTAGATTTGGGCCGGCGAAGTTCATTCACCTTGGGCTGATGATCCAAATTGCATAGTATAAAGTAAATTACAAATAGTACGTAAGTAAATTACAAATAGTACGTAGTTTAATATTAGTTTGCTAATATTAATTGATTTTATAAATTATATTTCACCCTTTCAAATTTATAATAACATAAGAAATAATCTCTTTCATTAATTAATCATTAAGTCAATTAACAGTTTTTAATAATACAAAAAATATATTTTGATTAACAGTTTTGATAATTTTATTATTATATATGAGGGCATTTAGGAAATTTTAATTTATTTTTATGTTAAATAACAAATGTTGACAATGTGTCATTTGAAAATTTTAGAATCACATTATACAATTTATACTTTAAATAAATATTAGGAAGTTTATTTGTAATTTACCCTGTATAATATTATCAATCCTATTGATTTCACTAGCTTTTAGATTATTCACAAATATATAATTATTATTTATATCTTTGATGAAATAGATGCCTTCAAATGGTTAAGATTCTAGTCATATGGTTAGGTTATAGGTAAATTATACTTACCTCTTCCCAGAGGTTTTAGAAAAATACTGTTAACCTCATACTTTTGACATAAATGCACTAATTTTTCTTAAGATTTTAATTCACGTAATAGTTATATTATTTTTATCAATAATTAATTAATCATATAAATAAAAAAAATTATATTATCATATTTTTTTCAATAAAAATATATATTTATTTTTATTTATTCGAAATGATATTCGACATGCCAAATGTAACTAATGCTCCCTTTCACTTTAATTCATAGTAATTTATTCTAATATGAAATTTATGTATTTATATTTATATAATATATATGTCTCCATACATTTTGTGCGTTTGTATATTATGAAAACCAAGCTCTTGGAAGTAGTGGAAAGGAGGGGCACCTTTGTGAAAAATAATGAGCAACGGGTAAAATATATATATATATATGGTTTTTTTCATCTACTTTTAGAATTACTAATAAATAAATTCCTATACGTATACGTTGGAAGAAATATTTTCATTTAATGCACTTATCTTTAATAAATTTATTATATCTATTAATATATCAGTTAGTACATTAATTCATATATATATTTTAATTATTTATTGTCTTTAACATAATGATTCTTAAAAAAGTTAATAATAAGTAAAATTTTAAGAATAAATCATCGATTAATTTATCTTATAAATATAATCCGACTACGTATTATACAATCAATATAAAATTATAAAATTTATTTATAAAGCGATACAATATAAACAATTAAATTCAGATCAGTCATCCTTTCCCAAAAATCAAAATAAATTTTCAATTTTTAAGGTTTTGGGCCATTCAGAAATCTTGGGCTGCACATATCTCGGGACCGGACCACTAATCCGACGGTAGGGCTCACTCTGTCTGGTACCATCTTGGAGCTCCATGCGCACGTTAGAACGCATCGCTTCACTCGAATTCCTCATTGTTCCCAAGTTGACACCTTGAGAGCCCCAAATTGTTAAATTATTCAAAAAAAACAGGAAAAATCCATGGTTTCAGCCGCAGTTTTAAGCCTCAATAGCAACCAATTCTCTCTCCACTGACTGTTCCTCAGTTCAAAAGCCGAATCCCAAGAATCGCTAATTCACTCCCAAAAGGGGAATATATTTTCTCGCTCTGGAAAACCGGAAGGAAAAGAAGGGAGCTGGTCGGAAAATGGAGGAACTTGGTGGGTCTGACGAGAATGTTCAAGAACAAGGGGTTTCAGTGAACGATGAAGGTGTTCCTGTGAGTAAAAAGCGGGGTAGGGGTCGTCCGAAGGTGAAGAGGGATGAGGGGAATAGTGATGCCGTGATGGCGGAGAAAGGCCAAGAAAGTAGGGGCGAAGATGAAAATGGTGGTTGTTCTGTTGGGGAAAGTGGGAAGAAAAAGAGGGGAAGGAAGAAGGGTACTAAGGTTAGGGTTTCTGAAACTGATACAAAAGATGAAGAACACGAGGAAGGCCAAGGAGGTGGAGGTGACGATGAAAATGGTGGTTGTTCTAATGATGAAAGTGGGAAGAAGAGTGATAGTAATGTTAGGGTTTCAAAAACAGATACAAAAGATGAAGAACATGAGGAAGGCCAAGGAGGTGGAAGTGAAGATGAAAATGGTAATTGTTCTGATGAAGAAAGAGGGAAGAAAAAGAGGAGAAGGAAGAGGGGTAGTAGTGTTAAGGTTTCAAAAACAGATACGAAAGATGAAGAACATAAGGAAAACTCAGATCAAACCAAGTCTAGGTATTCTCTCAGGGCTGAAAGAGCTATAAAGCCAGTCAATACAGAATCCAAGCCAGTGAGGGGTGCAAGGAAGGATGAAAATGTACTAATTAGTACTCTCTCTATCTCTCTTTTTGTTTTGCTTTAATTTTGATGCTTTTTGATTTCAATTGATTGAATATTTTGAATTGTGTTGTTGGGGTTTTCTGCTTTCTGACTTTGGATTTCACAGGGTCAATTGGTGTCTAATATGTGTCATCAGTGCCAGAGGAATGACAAAGGACGGGTCGTTCGGTGCACCAAGTGTATGAGAAAGCGATATTGTGTTCCGTGTATGACTAGATGGTATGATTTGAATGTTTTACTCATTCTGCTAGTATTTAATTTGTTACAATTGCTTTATTTTGTATGCTTATGTATGTTTGTTGATTTTTTGAGTTTCATCTGAGGTTACTTTGTAATGAAACTTTGTGCAGTTTATTCACCCAAAAAAAACTTTGTGCAGTTGCCACTGCTATTTCTTTTCAATTTAGGGTTATTCCTACATTTTCTTTCCTTAAATAACAAGGAGTTGACCATATTAAAATTCAGAATATTGGAATTGAAGCAACACATTCAAATGAAATTTCGGCATCAACTAATTTTTTCTCCGTCATTAAATTACTAATTTCATCCATTTAGTCCCAAAAGTTTATAATTTCATTTCTAATTTCAGCTAATATAGTTCCATTGAAGACAATTGCCCAAATCGGTAAGTGTCAAAACCTACTTAAACCATACCATCAAACACTCATAGTTTGAAATGACAGTTGGAAGAGAAGATGGGTGTTTGGTTGCAGGGTGTAAGTTGTCTAATATAGTGTGAGTAAGTAGGTAAGTGTTTGATTGTATGATATAGGTTGTCCAAATTGTAAAATTATTTTTTTTGCTCACTAAGCTAGGTTTTTTTACCATTATTGATTGGGATTTGGATAGATTGTCTCCAATTAGACCTTATGAATCGAAATCCAAAATTTTAGGAGCTAACTTGATGAAATTGATAGTTTAGGTTTAGGGATGATAAAAAAAAATGACAATAGTGTAGGGGATAAAAGTGAAATTAACCCACACTTTTGCAATAATTACGTTGAGCTCTCTTTTAGTAAGGCTAATAAAGTGTCCAAAACTAATGCAAATGGTGAGTAGGTACTGAAATGAACAAAAATGAATATATATATTTTAGCAGAAAAGAGATAACATCATTTTTTCATTCATACGACTAACAAAATTAGGGAAACCCTATGGTATACACCCCTCCAAGGGTGTGTACCATATGCACCCTATCACAATTGGTGTAACTTTATCATGAAATTTCGTAACATCAATGACAAAATGCTTAACCTCGCCACAAATTAGCCTAACAAAATGTCCAAAATTTTGTGGTTCATGTAACAAAGTTTGTGGCTTGGTTGTGACATTTTTTATTACCCCAATTTGTGGCGAGGTTATGTATTTTGTGGTTGATGTTATGAAATTTTATGGTAAAGTTACACCAATTTGTGGAGAGTGCATATGGTACACACTCTTGGAGGGGTGTGTACCGTAGAATTTCCTAACAAATTATTGATGAAAAATGGTCTGATTGTTGTGTAAATTAAAACCTCAAGAGAGGCCACTGTAATTATGTAAGAAGTGTGAGGTTAATTGTATTTTTTTTCAAACTTCAAGGGAGGTGAGTGTAATTTACTCTCTCTCTCTCTCTCTATGTGTGTGTGTGTGTGTGTGTGTGTGTGTGTGTGTGTGTGTTTGTAGTGTTGACCGATGTTTTCCTTAACAAGTTGATATTGTAATCTCTCTCTCTCTCTCTCTCTCTCTCTTCTCTGTGTGTGTGTGTGTGTGTGTGTGTGTGTGTGTTAATATTTCATTTCTTGAAAGTAACCATTATCTTCTCTTTTTGTTATAATTCTATTGTTGTTATTGTGACTTGTTTAATGGTATGTAGGTACCCTAAGATGACTGAGGATGATTTCGCTGAGGCTTGTCCTGTTTGTCTTAAGATTTGCAATTGCAAGCGATGCTTACGTTTGGATGGACCAATTGTAAGTTGCTTCAGCTTCTTAGTTTATGCTTGCCTGGTGTCTCTTTTTGATGTCTGTACATGAAATACCATATCTTTATCCCTTTTGGTGCAGAACCTGAAGAATTTAGAAGTTAAATACAATGATAAGGAAAAAATTCAGCACTCCAAATATATACTACTAGCACTTCTTCCATTTTTGAAAAATTTCAATTGGGAACAAATGACAGAGAAGGAGGTGGAGGCTAAGATTCAAGGTATTTTCTACAATTATGATGTTAGGTGGGCTTCCTATTTCAATGGGATTCAAGTTCCTGCTTTGTTATTTAAACATCTTAATTACTTTCTACTCTTGAATCAAAATGGATTGTTTAAGAAAATTTTGTGGCATTGAAAAATAAGGGGAATATAACGCGCAGGTGGATTTTGGGCTAAATATTGCAAATGACTAGGAATCTTCTCAGAATTGCACCACAGGCTGAAGGCTGAAAATAAATTACAAATCCATGGAATTAAGATGAGAATGTCCTTATTTTTGTCTCTTTTGCAAACCTCCCCAAACCTCTTCACGTACCCTCCTTCGCCCTTTGCCGGCACGCCCTCCACTTCCTTTGCCCTCCCTCGCACACCTACCATTTCCCCACCGTTTGCCACTCAACCCCTCCACCCTCCACCCTCCACCTCTCCCCCACTGTCTGGTGCCCAACCTCTCCACCCTACACCTCTCCTTCATTGTCTACAGCCAAACCCCTCCACTATTCACCCCTTCCCCCACCTCCGTTACTTCTCCACGCCCTCCTCACCTCTCTTTCACCCTTGCCACTCCCCTACCCACTTATGCCAACCCCAGCCCATCCCCACCCAACCCAACACACACTAGCTACCAGCACCACCTAAAACTCTCCAACTCCTCCCCATTGCCACCCCACACCTCCTTTCTCTCGCTGCTGCAAATCTTGCAGGGTGCAAGTGGAAATCGTGTGGGGTTGTGCACCAGTGTTGTACCATATACGTACCCAACATAGCTTGCACTTGCACCCTTCATATATTAAACTTGTAGCATATTGGACTTGCACCCTACAAATTTTGTTGCATCAGGGGAGAGGAGGTGTGGGGTGGCTACGAGAAGGGTATGGAGGGTTTTGGGCTGTGTTGGTGGCTTGGGTTTGGGTCGTCTATGGTTTTGGGTCGGGGAGTGGCGGAGGTGATTGGAATGGGTGGAGAAGTGTCAGGGAGGGTGAGAGGAGTGGAGGAGGGGGGGGTGGGGGGGGGGGGGGGGGGGGCGGTGAAGGTGGGGAAGTGGTGGAGGTGGTGTTGCAAAAGAGATGAGGGCATTTTCGTTCTAATTCCATAAATATATATATTGGCATTCTTTCACTTGTGGCATTATTTTGAGAAGATTGCCATTGATTTACAATATTTAGCCCCAAAATCCACCTGCAAGTTATTTTTCCAAAAATAAATCACTTTGCATGGTTTAGGTTTTCTAAAAACACTTTTCAGAAAATTTTATTTTTTTGTTTTCCGTATTGTTTTGTTTTTATTGAATTTTTTTAATATTTTAAGCAATTTTTTAAATCTTTAGACACACCTAACATAAATACACTTAAAAAGTATAATTTTCGTGAAAAAAAATCTTTAAAAAATTCACTAAATACCAAAAATACAAAAAAGAAAGAAGAAGAAAATTTAGTATATTTTTCATATTTTTATGTATTTATTAATATTTTGAAATATTTTACTTTTTAGATACATCTAAGTAAGGTGCATCTAAAAAAATAAAAAAAAAATGCTTAAAATTTTAAAAATATTTACTAAAAACAAAAAAAAAAAACACGATAAACAAAAAATTCAGTTTTTAGAAAACTGAAACCAAACACACTGACTATATTTTTCAATGTCTGTGAATGAGAATTGTTGTGTCAACTATATTGTTCTGTAGTTTACTTATGTTCTGGTTGGGCAGGTTTATCATTGTTACAGACAAAGCTACAACAGGCGAAATGCAGTAAAACAGAGCGTGTCTATTGGTAGGTTTTTGTGAATGATTTCAATCTGTTTTTATTAGTTTGCTGACAGATTAATGTAATTGGTTGTTATGTGCAGCAACAATTGCAAAACTTCTATTGTTGACTTCCACAGAAGCTGTCCTCACTGTTCTTATGACCTATGTCTGATATGTTGCCGGGAGTTCCGCGATGGCCACCTACAGGGAGGTGAGGAGGAAGTTATCATGCCGTATGTTTATAATGAACTGGGTTACTTTCATGGTGGGGAAAACTGTTCTGAGTCTTTGAGGAATACAGAAAATTCAGATATACCTGTTGGAACTAGCAGAGTGGATAATGTTAAGTCAGTGTCTGAATGTACGGCCAATAAAGATGGTAGCATTCCTTGTCCCCTGGGAACCATGGGTGGGACTTCAATGAAAACAGAGACTATAGATATACCTGTTGGAACTAGCGAAGTGGATAATGTTAAGTCACCATCTGAATGGAAGGCCAATATAGATGGTAGCATTCCTTGCCCTCCAGAAACCAGGGGTGGTTGTGGTCAGGGCATCTTGGAATTGAAGTGTATGTTTGCAGAAGACTGGGTTTCAGAGTTGTTAGTGAAGGCCGAAGAGATAGCCAAAACTTATGACCTTAATGATGAGCCTGAAAGTTTTCCACAATGGTGCCCCTGTTCCAATGAGGCTGGTGAAATTGACGTTGGCAGTAGTAATTTAAGGAAAGCATCTTCTCGAGAAGATTCGGCTGACAACGATTTGTTCTGTCCAACCGCTAAAGATATTCAACATGAAGATTTGAAGCATTTTCAGTGGCATTGGTATAAAGGTGAGCCGGTGATTGTAAGTGATGTGCTTGATACTACATCTGGTTTGAGCTGGGAACCGATGGTTATGTGGCGTGCATTCCGTCAAATTACAAATCTCAAACATTCCCAGCTTTTAGATGTGACTGCCATTAATTGCTTGGATTGGTGCGAGGTTAGTTTATTTTTCTAACTTTGTTGTGCCAGTTATAAATCTAGTTTGCTGAATATAGTTGATGTGTCAATTGATATTTCTAGTCCATCAGATTATCTTCTCAGGGTTTGGTAAGATTTATTGACGCAAAATTTTTATATGAGGTGTATTCGTCAGCCATGGTAGATTTTTGCTATTGTAATAGTTGCTAAATGTTTTGATATTGCTTCATGATTTCATTAGGATATGTCTACAAACTCTGAATATGCCTTTGTATTTCAAATAGTTTCTTGCTTATTTTTTAATTCTGAGTTGACTGCTTTTTGATATATTTTTTTTGCTTTTAGAAAAAGCTAGAGTAGTTTAATGCATTGAAGTCTTTCATCCTAAATGTAAAGAATTAATAACTAAAGATCCTTTTTTCCACATGCAAAAGATTAGCCAGTGTCAGTCACGATAGTAAATTTGATAATCAGCGTGGCACTAAGAATCCCCTCTGGTACTGATGAATGATTATTATTGTTACATCATTTTTAGTTTTGTTTTTCCTCCTTACACTATACATGTTTAAAGACACAAATATGTATTTCTTCAGCAAGTAACTTCCCCCTGGACTGATGTTTTAATTTACGTATCTTTTCCCCCCTTCTGTACTATCTTCATGAGAAAACCATCCGTTACTTGCTACCTTCTTTCTTTGTTTCTTTTTAATTTGGAATTTATCTTTTCAAATATTCCCAACTGCTAGAAAATTTTGTAGTCTTGATGAGTTGATGTGCATGCCGTGAATTAGTGTAATATCAATTGGTTGTTCTTCTGTGCACTGATTATAATTGGATCTAAAGTTAGCTTTTGATGTGGCTGCACTTTTACAGTGTTTATTGTATTAGTATCTGATTTTGTTTTTTATTTTTCTACTTGTTATTTTTATATTTTCCATTTTAATGGAGTCTGTTGTTGTTGTTGTTTTTTTTTCTTCTAGCTTATTATTATCTGATGCGTAAAATTTTTTCAGCTATTGGTTGATTTTGTTACTCTTGTGATGAAATGCAGGTGGATATTAATGTCCACCAATTCTTTAAAGGGTATTTGGAGGGTCGATTTGACAGTTATGACTGGCCTCAGATTCTTAAGTTGAAAGACTGGCCCCCATCAAGCTTGTTTGATGAACGCTTACCTCGGCATGGTGCTGAGTTCACCAGTTGCTTGCCCTTTAAAGAATATACACATCCTCGCTGTGGCTTTCTAAACCTTGCCACAAAATTACCTGAGGCAACTTTGAAGCCAGACTTGGGACCAAAGACTTATATTGCCTATGGAGTTGCTCAGGAGCTGGGACGTGGGGATTCTGTAACCAAGCTTCACTGTGATATGTCTGATGCGGTATGCTTTGTTTCTTTGAGTTTCTCTGTACACTTCAGTGCCATTCTTTGTTGGAAATTCTCTGTAGGATGGGATGGCTGCTTGGATTTTTTCACGTCCCTTTGCTTGTCTGTTTTTATTTTTTCCCGATATAATAGTCTGTTGTGTTCATATAAGCAGGGGAAAGAGCGTTATCAATGCATAACAATTTGGATCAGCGGTAGTGTTTAAAAATTCTATTGTTGGATTTGGCCTCCTGCTGCGTGTTAGAAATAAATTATGCCTTGGGGGATTAAGAGGCTCAAGCTTGTACTATCTTTGCCTGAAGATTTTGAAATACTTATATGCACATACATAACAGGGTAGTTAAGTAGATGGAGATAAATTCAAGTATACAAAGTTTTTGAATTTAAAATATGTAGTAATCATGTAGAAACCTCTAGCATTCCAAATTTGTGGCATAAAATTGTTTAAGATTTTAAAATTTAACTAATTATTTAGAAAGTCCAAGGTTTCTTGGTAGTGTTAATTTTATTTTTTAATCATATACTATAATAGTAGTTAAAATGTAAAGAGTGTAGAAATTAGGGTTGGGATTAAGTAGAGAGAGAGAGAGAGAGAGAGAGAGAGAGAGAGAGAGAGAGAGAGAGAGGGGGGAAGAGAAAGAAGAAAAGAGGTTACGGCAGAAAATAGGTTTTTTGGTTCTTAATCCAACCCTTCACCTCAGCATTTATTTATATTAAACTCAATTGTTGCACATGTCTATTCTAACAATAGTAATGTTAAGTATAAAATGATTTTGATCATCCCTGGTTTAAAAGTTCAACTAGCATATATAAGCCAGGTTGATGGGTATCTGGATTAACATTAAATCAAGTGTAGACCAGGCAGTTATGTTGTCAGTTTGACTTTGTTATCTTCCAAAATTTTAGGTTTAGATGAATCTGAATTTATTACCTTGGCATTCTGAGCCATACAAGGTCACTAACTCAGACATGCAAATATTTGCCAGTTCAATGGGGCCTTAATCATGTTCTGATCACTGAATATCAGCAGTTACATTTGTTGAGATCGAGTGTCCTATAAGTTTCATATGATTGAGATACTTTGCTGTTCTGCCCATCCTTCTACATTGGTCCAGAATAAGTGCTATTAACCAGCAGAAAATTCCCCAGATATTTCATTTGCTAAGAAGAAGGCATGCTGTAAAATTGGTTTTTTGGCAAGGAAACAGCTGCCTCACAGCATTTCTAACTTCTCTGTTTTCTCCCTCTAGCTCTTATTAGTGATTGTTTGTGGCTGTCTGGTAGACACGTAAAAACACATCCAATAAAAAAAACAGTGAGTCTGAACTTAAAAAACAAGTTCTCAGAATGAGATGTTATATGATTTGAAAATACAGTTACTTGTTCAAAAATTAGTTCTCTAAACTTGTTACTTTTCTTTAAATTGTATTGGCTTCAGGCTTATAAGAATTATGCCTTTGCAATGTGTAATGTTAATATAGCATATCATCCTACCAACTTAAGGTTTTCTTCTTTATTCTTAACGTCATCATAATAAGGGTTTTTAATTATATATATATATTTAATGCAGTTAACAAATATTTGAACTTGCTGTTTCAGGTGAATATCTTGACGCATACTAACGCAGTGATCCTTTCTCGGGAACAGCTTACCAAAGTGCAGAAGTTAAAGAAAAAGCACAATGCCCAGGATCAAAGGGAATTTATTAAAAATAGTCAGATATTGGACCAAATAGTTGAGGAGAGGCCTCTGTTGCCATCTATGGAGAAGGACATTTCATTTTCCTCTGAAATTAAGTTGGACACAAATTTTACTGCTGAGGCATCTAGCTGTTTGCAAGTTTCGACCTTAGATGGTGGTAGGGATCAAGGTTTGCCTGCAAATATAAAACAGTATGTTGATGGTGTCGAAAAGGGCGATCCAACTGCCGAAGGAATTGTTAATGCAGCTTGTCAGCAACATGGTGAAAATGGCGTGTCTGGGTTGAACATGCAAGATTATTCATTAATGTCTAAGTCAGAAGATTTTCCGGGTGTGAATGAAGAAGCCAAAGGCATGAATGTTTCTTATACCCACTCAAGTGGAAACATGCTAAATACTGTAGTTAAGGTGGAGGTCAGTTCAGAAGGTGTGGCTGATGGAGAGAGAGTGAATGAAATTGCTGAAGGTAGAGAAAATGCAAATGGATGTGCCCCTTTAGGTGCTTTTGGAACTCAAAACAAAACTGAAGCTAAAATTGCTGAGACATGCAGTGCAGATGAAGCATATAATAATTGCTATGGAACCACTGGTAATGAATTAAATGAAGTTGTGTTAGACAAACAAGATAAAGAATGTTGTTCTGATATACTATCTGAAGAGAAAAGTTGCGATGGTGAGACTGACAGAAATGGAAGAAGAAAGAAAGGTTTTCAGGGTAAGAGGAAGAGAGGGAAATTGCATGCAGGTTTGTCTAGGAAGTGTAAGAAGTTGACGGCTGAAAATGCTATTACAGAACCTCCAATAATAGGAAAAACTGGCAGTGGTGAAGAAAGTCACAGGGATTTTATCTGGGGAAATGGTGAAACTGATGTTTCTGATGCACAAGAATTTACTAATGAGGCTGAAGCTTCTGAAACAAGTGGAGAGGCAAAAGTGGATCGAGATGATATCATGAAGAATGGTGGCCCTGCAGTTTTGGGAAAGGATTTAGATGGATTTGAAAATGCAGACGGAGGTGCTGTCTGGGACATCTTCCGGAGACAAGATGTTCCTAAGTTGCAGGAATATCTAAGGAAACACTTCAAGGAATTCAGGCATATTTATTGTTCTCCATTGCAGCAGGTTATAAACATTCCAGTAATATCCATAACCTTACATCATGTTATATTTTTGAAATATAGAAAGGCCATATTATATTAGAAAGGAATGGGTTGTTGTAGGAGAGCACCTGAAAATGGCAATAGATGTAAAAGTTCTTTCCTCTTGCACCCCCCTAAATGGGTAGCACTTGAAGTTCCTCCTTCCTCCCCCATCCATGTCCTTTTCACATTGGCAATAGTGTAAATTTGAAGTTTGAATCTGCCAGGTTAGGTAGAGAGAGAAGAATGTGTGAAATACCTGGCTTTTATAAATATTAAATGGCTAGAAAATTATTACAAATTTCACAGCTGAAAATCTATCGATCAATGGCTTGACATTCTGGCACATGCAAATAATTGATGGCTAAACAAGTGCCACTCCTTGAAGTTCCTCCTTCCTCCTCCCTTTATGTCCTTTTCACTTGGGAAATAGTGCAAATTTGAAGTTTGAATCTACCAGGTTAGTTAGAAAGAGAAAAATGTGTTGAGTACCTGACTTTTACTTATGTAAATATTAAATGGCTAGAAAATGATTGCAAATTTCACAGCAGAAACCTTATCAATCGATAGCTTGACTTTCTAGCGCATGCAAATGTTTACCATTAGTATTACATGTTTTGTGTTATTTCTTAGTCTCTAACTGTATTATCCATTGGCTAATTAATTATTCTTATCTACTGTTCAAGTGAAATATGTTGCTGACCTGTTGAAATGAAAGTAGGGGAAATTGTGTTTCAGTGGGAATGGCTTAAAATAATTGCAATTTTCATGGAGATGGAAGTGTCTGTGTCCAGTGCAAGTGAAAGCTGCGACATGGGACAAAATGCCCACTTGCACCTAGTCTCACCTCAATGAAATGCATTTATCTTGAGTTGTTTCCACTAAAATGCTTTTTCTTCATGAAATTGTCCTTTTTCTTCCCCAGAATTCTAAGGGTTGAAATGTTTGGTTTGTTTTTCAGAAAAAAAAATTCAAAATTTTTTTGGAAAAAATAAAACTAATTTGATAAAATTAAATATCAAAAAGATATTTTAAAATTTTTAAAAATTATTTTTGGCCTTCCAAAAAGTAAAATTATATAAAAATGATAAGTGTTATTTATTTATTGCACCAAATCAAATTTTAGTTTTTTAAAAAATATTTATGAATTAAATGTCAGAAAACCAAACCAAACATGACTAGAGCAATCATTTTGAAAAGGTAGGGAAGGAATTGTTGAAAGCGATTCTTGTATACCTAAAATCTATTCTCTTGGATGAATGTTACTACTGTAGAGCATCATTATAAAATCTTTCAGTGCTTTTAAAAGCAATCACTGATATCATTTTCTTTGTTGTGTCTTGATGCACCCTAAAATTCTTAGTTTGGAGAGACTATTAGTTGGTTTAAGATACATCTGGCAAATGGTAATAAATAGAATTGCTGAACTTCGAAAACTAGGAGATGAAATGCATGGATTGTGTTCACTAGAAAAATGCACAGATAGTTGGTGTCAAATGTGTGTTCTTCTGCATGGTTTGTTCAGCTGTTTCATTATTGGGGAAGAATTGTTCTTAATACTCCCTGTTAACATTGACCTTTTCAATTTAGCATTTTATTATTCTTTTTAGTTTACAGTATTTTATTTTTTATTTTTGTGATAATGACGTTACAGGTTGTTCACCCTATTCATGACCAAACATTTTATTTGACGCTAGAACATAAAAGGAGGCTCAAGGAGGAATATGGTTGGTTTTTAGTTTTTTCAATGCGGGTATTCGATTTATAATTGCAGTTCCTTTGATCATGTAAGCTTTTGTTTGTGTTGTAGGAATTGAACCATGGACTTTTGTGCAAAAACTAGGGGATGCAGTTTTTATACCGGCTGGCTGTCCCCATCAAGTTAGGAATCTGCAGGTAAAATAGATTGTCCAAGTGGGTTTTCTTTTATGCCTATTGCCCCAGTCTAGAAATATGTTTTGAACTTGTTACTACTGTGTGGGTTATTGATATTCCATCACAGAGTGCTGTGTTTTCTGCTTTATATTATCAAGTTAACAGTATATTACTGAATTTAATTGATAAGAAATTGGAGGTTAGGTGGAAATGTCAGCAAGAGAATGGTGTTTAGGTTTTCATTATAATACCACATCACATCTATCTACTGTGCTTTTATGTTTGACCCATTTTCATAAGCTGGTGTAGATTATGCTGTGAACTAGCCTACTGGAGTTTTGCACATGAAACAAAACAATTCGCTACTGTATGCTAATCAAACCCAAAAGCATTATAATGTCAAGAAAATAAGAGTCGTTAAGAAAAAAGAAATCTAAACACCACTCTAGCAGGTAGTGTATTTTGGGTATCTAATCAAAACCTAATACAGCCATATAGGAAAGGAACTTGTTTTCAGAGATGAAGTGTGGGATTGGGACCCACAAAAATCATGTTTGTTTTGGAAAGCTGCCATGAGATTAAGAGTCCCATGGGACTATGAAACCCCTCCAAGTAGGGGACTAGCAATCCTATGGGGGACTTGGGTTTGCTAATTCAATCCCATGAGATTGGAGGTGAAAAGATCTCATTGCTCCCCATTTTACAAAAACAATAAAGTCACATTTTATATAATGAAAACTTTTACATAATTTCATAGATTTAATCCCAACCAATTAATACTATTACACTAGTGTACAAACAAACCCAATTTATCTTATATCTTCAACTTAATACCAACCACACTAGTAATCCCCTTACTCAATAATCCCATCCAACCTAGTCTGGAAAAAAAACAGGGCCATTGTGTTTATTTATTTATATTTTTAATGATTGGTATTTGATCTTAAAAAGCATGGACATTTCTAAGAAAACTTCGTTGTTAGACAACTATGCAGTTCATCCTTAGTAGTTTACGATCTCCTCTCTGGAGATGGTACCATTTTTTGTGGGTTGAGGCTCAACAGTTGGGCTATCTCTCTGCTGTGTTATTCTTTTGCTTTGAGACTGTTTCAGGCTTGAAACCAAAGTTGGGGAAATCTTCTCTCTTTCTGGTGATTTAGGGGCCCCATGTGGGGCCCTTGGCGAGTATTGTTGGGTGTAAACAGTGGAGCACTTGGGATTACATCTCAGCTCTTCCTTTTTAGCTGGGTTGACCTGAGACTTGGTGGTTGAGAGATTTTAGAGACGGTTGGCTGGTTGCAGGGTTTAAAACAATGGGTGTTACGTAACAGAACGACCATTACATAACAGAAAATGAAGTCTACGTTTCGGATGCGCATAGCATTGCAAGTGTTAAAAAAAAATTCACACTGGAAGCTGCCGTTATTGTCCTGTTACTGTTATGAATCATGACGTAACGTTAGCTTTTTGTTTTGTGTAACGCTCGACAAACATACATTAATCATTATGACGGCAAAAAAGCAAACCTGACTCCATAGATTCACTGTGTAGCTTTGTAATTTTCTTGGCCCACCCAGATTTCCTCTCTTCAAGTAAAAACCTATATCTACGCATTTGGAGGAAGATCGAAGGTTGATTTTCAGTTGGGGTTGAATATTCGAAAAAGATTGAAGCTTGCTCTACTACTGTTGAATGTGACAAAATAGTAAGATTGAAGCTTGATTTGCAAGATTTGATGACTGGGTTGTGTGAATCGGTGATTGATCGCTTTGGTAAAATGTTTTGTCAATTTTTTTGCTATTTCATTGTCTTCTCTGCTGCTTTGTTGGGTCGGTGGGTCTCGGATGACCGAACGGCTGTTCTAGTTGGGTTGTCCAACTCTTTTTTTGTTTTAATATAATAAATTAACATCATATGGGTTGGAAGCACTGCTGCTCCTGCTCTATTTTGGTTTTTATCATATTATCAGAGAAATGGATTGATTGAATGCCACCTTGTTAAGTTTTTATTTTTTTCCCTTATTGAGTTCGTAATTAATTACTACAGGTTGAGACCCGTGTGGGTCAGTCGGCATTTGTTTTGAGTCTTTGAGATCTATTAAGTTTTATAATTTGTTCTAATTTTTCTACCATCAGTGACTCAATGGGCAATGAGTGGTTGTGTGATACTCTCAATTTAATTTGAGTAATTTTCTTGAGAATTGTGAATGTAATTGCAGAGTAACTAGGACATCAGGGGAAACACTTGGTGGTGATATTCGATGGAGTTTTGCAGATCCAATGCCAGATAATAGGCATAAATTGTATTGCAAGTTAGGTGTGTGACGGGTTTATTATAGGTGGAATCACTAGATGAAAGCAACAATCAACTCATTTTGAAGGGCATGTTCTACCATGTTCCAATGTTACAGCAGAAATTAGAGAAACAATGATGAAACACCTCTTGGCCTACAAGGAAAAAAAATTGAAGGGGTGAAAAGGATGAAGTAGCAGAACATATTAGAGTTTCTCAAGGACAATATGGTAGTGATGATGATGTTGACAACGAAGAATATGCTGATTTTGAAGGTATTACTGTTGCTAGTGATGACACTGATCTTGAGTTAACAATGGCAATACAGGCAAGTTTAAGGGATCGGAAGGAATGGGAAGAAAAATAAAGGTTTAGAGCATATGCTGGAGTGATGTATGAAGTAGGGGCAGCTCATCCGAATTGACAGGATCACCTTGAGCTACTATGGGACGTCGATCTGCTAGTGTTCGGGAGACGAGGAGTACTCGTAATAGTAAATGGACTGATCGAAACTCACGAAAAGCAAGATTAGACACAATTGATTTAGTCCTGCATTGGAGTAAAACTTCCAAGCAGCCAAAGCTCCCTACAACAACGATGAACACTTCGAGAGCAAAGTTTCTGTGGGACAGTGAGCCAATTCATCATATACATTTGAATATCTGCAAATGTAGTTCTTAATCCTTCGTTTGAACCAATGTTGGATGTTGCTAGAGAAGTTGCACCAAATGTAGAACCCCCAACTCCATATGAGGTGACCAAAGTATATTTGCCCAATTAGTGACGTGTTAAAGAAATGGATTGAATCCCATATGCCTATTTAGGAGGAGAGAGCGGTATCTATAATGTGTGAAGAATGGATAGGGCCTACTAGGAAGCATATAATCAATTTCCTAGTTTATGTCAATCGGGGAACAGTTTTTCATAAGTCTATGGATGCCACAGATGTACCTAGAAGGTATGCAGATTATTATTTTGGTTTAATGGACAAGGTTATTGAAGAAATTGGAGAGAAATATGTGGTCCAAGTTGTAATAGATAATGAACCTGCAATGAAACTTGCAGGTAAGAAGCTTATGTTGAAGGGGTTGAATTTGTGTCGTACAGCATGTGTAACACATTGCATTGCTTATGTTACCTGACACTGGAAAGTAAAAGAGTGGCGAAAGTGTTGGATGATGGAAGACAATCACAAGTTTTATTTATAACTCTACTTGGCTTGTTTATTTAATGAAGCAATTTACCAATGGTAGAGAATTATTACAGCCCACCATCATAAGTTTTTGCACAAATTTTATTATGTTGGGAAATATTGTGTGACATAAGATTGCCTTGAAAGATATGTTCAACTCTATTGGGTGAAGAATCTTTAAATAGGCAAATAAATAGAGAGGAAAGGGACATGAAGTAAGAAAGATAATACTTGAGCGAGAATTTTGGAATAAAGAAGGAACTTATGAAAGTGTAAGAACCTCTTGTCAGGGTACTTCCACTAGTAGATGGAGATGAGAAGCCTACCATGGGCTTTCTATATGAAGCTATGGATATGGCAAAACATGTCATTTAAAGAGACTGACAGTATTATAAAGATTATTGGAAGATCATTTTTTTTATAAAAGTTAAAAAGCAGTTATATTAAAATAAAAGTTAACATCATACATAGCAAAAAAGAAAACAACAAAGGACCAAACAAGAAAACCTATTGAAACTACAACAACAAACAATAAAAGCTGCCGAAAAACTAGCAGCAGTGAGGGAAAACCGCTATCTACTCAAAGATGTGGTTTGGAAAACAAGATCTACAATTAAAAAGAACTCAGTCCCACCATCGTCATTGATGTTGTCCCTGCCGCCGTTGCTCAATTTTGCTGTTGTTGTCGTTGCTCAATTTCGCCGCTGCCGCCGTTGCCTTCTTGTAGATTGGTTACTGTCAGAAGCCAACGTTCAAGAAGAAGAACACCCACAATAGTAAGGGAGGAGGATTGAAAGAAGAGGGGACCATTGTGGGTGTTGAAAATCCAAAAATCTATGCTAGAATTCGGGGGAGAAACTCTCAAAGCCCTCCCAAATCTACACTTTGGAAGTGTTTTTACTTCTTGCTAGAAAGTTGCCAAGGAGTGCTAGAAATTGCCTGAGCGAAACCTGGGCTTCTTTCTGCTAGGTCTATAGTAGTTTTCATTGATAAAAGGTGGAGTTTTTAGCTACATCTTGATTTACATGCAGCTGGTGAGTATTCACATTTATTCAATATGTTATGAAATACTTGGTAGGTTATTTTCTCAATTCCCAATTCCAATATGGTGGAACTCTTTCTAACCATATGGAAGTCGTGGATGGTGCTAAGAATGGATTCGGATCCTCCACCATCCAGCCACCATCCAACACTTGATCTAGACGCCACAAAATATGACAATGACTAGTATTAAATTGTGGCCTTTAGATCAAGTGTTGGATGAAAGTGCTGGAAATGATCCTTTTCCATTAAGAAGATGATTGGAGGTTGGAGTCTAACATTGATAATCAAATTAGAGCCATTTATCAAGTAAGTTGATAATTTTATTATGTATTACAATTTTGAATAATATTATTTAGTAAAAATATTTGCATTACTTGGTAAATTTGTAGATTTTACTGTTTCGGGATAAACAGATTCATTTGGTAATGTAATAATAACTTCGAAGGCGGTGCAACATTCTAATCCTGGTAATTGGATATTGCACAAATTTATTTAATCTTTCAAGTTTTATATTACTTATTGCAAATTTTAATTGTTGGTTTCCCCATGTAATGTAGCTGAATGGTGGATTCATTATGGCACATATGCTTCTGAACTTCAAAGAATTGCAAAGTGTTGAGCCAAACTACATCATCCTCTAATTTTGAGCAAAATCGGAGCTTTTTGTACAAACACAAGGAATAGGTTGAAATATAAAAAATTAAAAGAGCATGTCTATGTTTATTACAACGAGGCTGAAGATCAGGCATGCCACAAGGAGAAGCCAAAGAGACAGAGGCTCATTTTATCCAATCAACTTGGATTATATTTTTGAAGAAGATGAGCCATTAGCTTGTGGTTAAAAGAGAGAGAACAGCCAATATTAGATGGGCAAGACAATTATGATTAACTAATCCTTAATGATGATGATCACGATGATGCAACTAGTCAGGCACAAGGGAATGTGCAACATTCTTGTCCTTCTGCAAGTGGATCTGATGATGGTTTGAGTCCACGTAGTTGTAGTCACACACTGATACCAATTCACTCTTTGATGAGGGGGCAATGCTTGTGGTGGCCAACATGAAATTGGAGTGTCTGGACATGGTGATAGAAGCAGTTCACCTTTGGGATGCATAGCTTTGGTGATAATGAAGAAATTGGTGAAGTGCAATAATTTCCACAACATACTAATATAGCTGATATGAGGAGACGTCGTCGTCATTCATCAAATGATACATTTAGGAGAGCTTGGAATTAGAGAATCTAATTGGATTACTCAGTGTTATCAGAGGCGAGCCTAAGTGCTAAGCGAGGCGAGGCGAGGCTTTAGCGCTTCACGCACCCTGAGGCGAGGCAAAATGGTGAGGCGATGAAGAAACGCCTGAAGCGAGGCTTAGGCGATGAAGCGTGAGGCGAAACGAAGTGACGCTTCGCCTGTTTTTTGCCTGATTTCAGTTTAAGTCATCTGGGCCCTTCATCAACTCGTTCGACTCATCTGGGCCCTTCATCGACAAAGTTAATTACTTTTATAGTTGCTTTCTACTAAATGTGAAGTCCAAACCCTAGATCACAGTCGTTGCAGTTGAGTTCACCTCCTGGGTCGACATTGAAAGGCATACCGAAGTCGACTTCACCTCCTGGGTCTTCGTCTTCCTTCTTCGGACGTCGTTACAGGTGAGTTCCTTCTTCTTCTTCTTCTTCCCTTCGACTCCACCTGGGTTCACTGTTGGACCCCCCTTCTTCCCCCCTGTTCTTCCTTTGTTCATTTTTTTCTGCTTCCCTTCGACTTCACTTGGGTTCACTGTTGAACCCAGTGTTAAAATTAATTCAATTATTTTTTTAAATTAATTGTTAATTCGCAAAAATTAATTTTTACAATTAATTCAATTATTTTAAAATTAATTTTTTTTTCAATTAATTCAATTATTTTTTTTCTGTGTTAACATTTCAATTAATTCAATTAATTTCCTAGTTATTTTAATTTCCTAGTTATTCAATTAATTATTTTAATTCAATTAATTTGTTTATTTTAATTCAATTAATTTCTTAGTTATTTTAATTTCCTGGTTATTCAATTAATTATTTTAATTCAATTAATTTGTTTATTTTAATTCAATTAATTTCCTGGTTATTCAATTAATTATTTTAATTCAATTAATTTCAATTAATTTGTTTATTTTAATTCAATTAATTTTCTAGTTATTTTAATTTCCTGGTTATTCAATTAATTATTTTAATTCAATTAATTTCAACTATTTTAATTTCTTTATGTTCTTTAATATTGTTAAAATATGTTCTTTAATTTCTTGATGCTGAAACATTGAATTGCTTGTTTATGGATATTTAGTATTTGGAATGATAATTGCATGATGGTTCTTGAAAATATTTGTATTTTTGTCTATACAATTTATTTTTAAAAAATATCATTTTTGGTCGTCTCGCCTCGCCTCGCACTTAGGCGTTAGGAGACCTTGTCGCCTCGGTTCGCTTTTCGCCTTAAAAAACACTGGGATTACTCAACTTTACCTACCTACCTATATCCAAAACCTCATGTGCCTCTAGCTCTATACTATCTCCACCACCATCCTACTACTACCAACTACCTCCTATAGCTTTTTTTCCACCTCAAAGCTATGGATATGGTATATTTGTGCTACCCATTTCTTATGGTTATGCTTGTCAACATCCCAAAAATTCCAGTGGTAGTGTTGATGGTTGTAGTAGAATCAATAGTGGATTTGCAAACTCGAACTACTTTTTGAACATCAACAAACTTATGATGATGATGATGACAACATGAGCGAGGGTTACCAACATTCTCTAAGCCCTTCTTTTTGGATCTGATGATGACGAGTGGGAGTCGCACATCCTTCATATTTTTTGGGTTTGATATGTGAACATCAAAGAGGGAAGTGATGTTGGTAGGTTAGTTTGTTAGTACTTAGTAGTTCCCAAGTTAGTAGTTTAATAGTATATGAGAGCATGTTCCATGTAATATAAATGACTAGACTCACTACTTGCATTATTGTTGTGTAACTTGTATGAATATCATTGTAATGATTGTACTACCAACGTATATTGAATTATGTTTGTTTTATTGTTATGAATTATCCATTTTAATATCATTTTTAATTATCCTAGATAGTGAAAATACGGTTGTTAAAATCGGGATCTTACGTAGGATTAATGAGAGAGTCTCATGGATTGGATTGTAGGATAGGATCGAGGATCGTAAGATTTTACTTTTTATTAAAAATATGGTAAAAATATAAATTAGGATGATATATATTAAAAATAACGTGAAAAATCACAAATCTAGCAATTCTACTATGATCTTATATGATCCCATACGATCCTGTTATAACACTGATCCTACAATAATGCAAACAAGGAAAGAATGCAAACAAGAGAACGAATGCAAACGGGGACCGAACGTAATTGGAGAAACTTGAACCCAAGATCTCCTTTTGCTAGAGCTCTGCCACCATGTTAAGTCATTAATTTTTCCAAAAGCTTAAGCTATTAGGAAGTGGGGCCAACAATGTATATCAAGATATCTAACACTATGTTATACGATCTTGCGTAGAACTAAACTCCAAAAGATAGCTATTAAGGTAAAGGTACTCTCACACTTATATACCTTATATTATTTTAGTATTCAGGAGATATGGGATTTCGCTTCACACCCTTCCTCATGCTCAGCGTGCTCACTTGGCAGCATTTGTGTAGTGCATGCCAATGGCACGCACCCTACCCGTCCTTGATACTCCGGTTCTGATACCATGTTACACGGTCATAGGTAGAACTCAATCCGAAAAACTAACTATTAAGATGAAGGTGCCCTCACGCTTATATACTTCATATTACTTTAGTACACATGCGACGTGGGACTTAGCTTCACAGTAGGCTCCTACGATCCGGATCGCGATTTTATTAACCATGAGTGAAATTTTTTCACTAGATGAAAACTCTCCATTCTCTAGCCTTAAAACCAACATAAAATTCAATATTTGTTTACAATACATGTTTTAGATGTTACAAAAAAATTCAAGAGTGAGAAAAAGCAAGAGTCCTCCAATTTGGATTTGTAGCCTTATCTCCATTAAGGGACTTGAAAGCTACAATAACCTCTGTTGTAAAACAACGCTCTTTGGCAGAGATGGCTAAGCAATATCCCATCTAATTTAGGTCTCCAATTCATAGAATCTAAACAGATCCCCCCTTTAAAACTTGCAATACCACTCTTGATTTCCTTTTTTGAATATAAGATTTAATCATTAGAATCTTGTTGGTGAAGTTACTCCTATGAGTATTAGCTATCTGATGAAAAAAGTGAGTGTTCCTGTACCTTTCTTGAGTAGTTGCTTGGATTTTTGTCTTCAACCTATGGAACACTGGCACTTGTTATTAAACCATTGACAACGTAACATAGATCTAACCATAGTTGTGAATTTGAGAGTCTGGTTTCCAACGATCTCTAGAGCCCTAACACGACAAAGATCTTGTCTCTTAAATTTCAATACACAGCATAGGCGTAAGTTATTAGATCACCACAAGGCTCAAAATCTCAAGTTGTTAGGAAATAGGTCCTACAATGTGTACTAAGCCATCCAACATCCTCCTTCGTGCAATCTCTTCTTGCATGCAGAGAAGACATACATAGAGAGAAACAAAATGCAAATGTGAAGCAAGCACAAACAAAGACACTTGAACCTAAAACCTCCCCTAACTTGAGCTGATACTATGTTTTTCAAATAGCCTCATACCTTCTTTGTTGTGTCATACATAGAAAAGTTCAAACTAGTACTTTCTCGACGGGGTTGTGGACTGAGTAAGCACTTGAGCATTTTCAATATCCCATGTTGCTGTAGATTTCTCAAATCCTTGAACCCTAGGATCGATGGGCTTAACTACTGAACATGTCACATAACCCCACTTTCCTTTACGTAGTCAAAAATTCCTTGCAACATTGGACCAATAAGAGTAATTATTCTCATTCAGACGAATACTGATGGGTTGCTACATGACCTCAGACATAGTGGGAATAAAAACAAAGAACCATTGGTGGAAGAAAAGCATTTGTAGATATCTGATTATAAAGGGGTTAGGTTGGGTTGAGTGTTTGTAGGTTGGTTTTAATCTTTAAGTGGGTTAGCAATGTTGTTGCATATGACTCTGTTGCGACAAACAAAAGTTGCAATTGCTTGGTTGCGATAAACTTTGATGAGAGATACCCCGATTATCTCAAAGGGTCATGGAGATGTCAAACGAAAATTTGCGAAGAAATCAAAGATGTAGTGATAGAGAAATGGTTGTGGGCTACAGATAAGGGATACTAATATGATACAATATGGATATGGCAATATGACAAAATCCATATTTTTTTTTTTTTTAAAAAGGTACGAACTTGGATATGTTGAATTTTTTTAATAATTTTTAGAAATATATTATACATGAGCTCAAACTATAGTGAGAAATCCTTTTTTAGGGATGAGATATTAGTTTTAGAGTCAATAGTCAATAGTCAATTTCCCCTTTTTCTCCCAATGCATACTTTAATTTGATAAAATCTGAAAAAGTAGAGTACTATTTTAATCTTACTCTTTTCTTCTTTGGTAAATTATAAGAAAATATTGAAAAACTTTTTTTTTTTTTTTTTTTTTATTCTAGCAATTATACTCTTGTAATATGAAAAATTATTACCATTTTTGGATATGTGACTTAAGAGTGTCTGAAAAGTATCTGATACTTATCAAAATTAACATAAAGTATTGGAAATGTTCAGGAAGTATTTGATATGTATCTGCAAGTATCCCAAGGAGCATTGGTATCCGATTCAGGTATGATATGGATATGACTCTTTTAGAAGTATCTGTGATTCATAGGTTGTGGGACTTCAACGATGAAGCAAAATATACTTCTAACAAGAGAAGGGTTGACAAAACCGAGAGGAATTGTGCAATAGTGTATGTGATGATGACAGGCTGCTATTGACAACGGTCAAAAACATTGGCTGGGTTCGTCAACTGGGTTCAAAAATTGGAGACACATTTATCTATGTTGGCGACTGAGACAGCTCTAGCTAGGTTTTGCAACTAAGGAGATGATGTGTGGCAAGTTAACTATGGGGCGACTGAGAAACGATGTCTGATCGTTAGGGGGCTTTGATTGTTAGGTCACCATTAGTCCCATAAGTTTATGCTGTTTGGATTGGTCAAATAATGTATATCAAGCTATCCAACATGAGCAAGGTGATCATATTGGGTTCAGACACTGCCAGTAGGTTTAAACACTGGAGCTGATGTAAAATAAATTGATAGAGAGAGAATAAATTGTATGTATTATTGATTGATGTATATTGTATATTACAAATGGTGTGGGGCTCCTTATATAGGAGATGTAGTGGAGTAGGTGGTAGTAGGTGGTAGTGGTAGGTGTGTAGTAGGTGGTGGTAGGTGTAGTAGGTGGAGTAGGTGATGGTAGGTTTTAACAGCCCCCCGCAAACTCAAGGGGGATAGGAACTAACCAATGTGTCCCATTCTTAAAATATATATATATATATATATATATATTTTACCGAGGTAAGCTGAAGTGATAGCTATTTTCTTTCTAATACTTTGCTGGTGATCTATGAATGTTTTTGTGTTGTCATTTCAGAAATGATTTTCTAATGTTTTTTTACAGTCGTGTATAAAGGTTGCCCTTGACTTTGTGTCACCTGAAAATGTTCATGAGTGTGTCCGTTTGACAGAGGAATTCCGTGTACTTCCAAATAATCATAGGGCTAAGGAAGACAAGTTGGAGGTATACCATCTCATTTCTGTCTGTTGAACTCTTTGATGGTTTTCGGTATATTTTCATATTTCCATGTTTTCAATGCCATTTCCTGTACAATCCAGTATTGGGCTTTAATGGTTTCATGATACTCATTTCTCTTTATCAAAGTGGTTGACTTTTGAGTTAATTCTGCAATCAGAATCTCCAGTTTATTCTCACTCCATGTAATGTATTGAGTTAAATGTATTTTTGTCCACTTGATCACTTGTGTCATTTGACATTGCTGCTTTCTGTAATTTAAGTAAGAGCATTAAGAAGTAAACAAATCAAATCTATGCAATCTTGCTAGGTGATTGCTGGTTTCAGTTTGACTGTTTTAATGATACTCTCTCTGTATTTGGAAAATATTCTGAATTATTTGTTGGGGAATGATTACAATCTGAATTATTGGTTGGGGAATGATTACAATATTAGTTTCAACCTAGGCTTTGTTTGATTCGAGGTAAAATATTTTACTCAATTATTCTGTTTGGTTGAACAAAATCTATGAAAAATATTTTTTGTAAAAAAATAGCTTTCCTCAAAATCAGGTAAATTGACTTTCGTTCTCAAACTCGGTAAGTCAATTTTGGGTCATTCAATGTGACGGTTGGAAAGCTTGAGAGTGAAGCTCAAATCATCATACGGCTAATCAAAATGCAAATTTGTTTGTTCATGGTGTATCATTATATATTATACGTATATATAATTTGAAATCTACTATCCTTCTCCATCATTTTGAAATATCTAGACTTCTCACTCTATCCCTATTCAGTTACATATGATATATACACACGTATATATATATCCCCATTCAGCTTAGTGTTTTGGTGTAGGATTGCAATTGTTGCACTGTGAAATGTAGGATAAGGATAGGAAGTATCTGTATAAGAGACCTGTATTCTGTAAGATTTTTGTTGTGCAAGTGCTAAACATTTGGGCCTTTGAATCAGGTGAAGAAAATGAGTCTTCATGCAATGAAACTTGCCGTGGAGGAGTTGGAGACAATTACTAGGTAAGTTATGAGAAATAGATTATGTTGGTTCTTAGTTGCAGCACTGTCGAATTCTCATCTCGGTTGTAGTTGTATACCATGTGTTGTTGTCCTAGTGGACTGATGAATCCTGAAAACAATGTCCATGTGCATCTAAATTGTTGTAGAAAGCGTGAATAGGATCCATGTCACTAGTTTGAACTGTGATGGGACATCATTTTGACTCCATAAATGTAATGAGATTGATAAAGCATCGTTATTGGCTTATTAAACTAGATTAATTTAATTTAAAATTTTAAAAATAAAAACAAACTTACAAATTGGAAAAGGATTATCTTGTTGTATTATACCCTTTTCTGCATGCTTTTAGAGTATGATTAGTCATACATTTTTAACAAAAGTCAATGAACCCTTTCTATAAAGGACCAGAAAGTGTTCCATTTTGTTAAAAATTTAACTTTTGGTGATAATTGTTTCCCCCTTTTTCTATTCAAATTTAAAGATCGTCTCTGTCTTTTAACAACAAATATATATGTATACATATTTGAATTGGAACTGAAACCATATTCTACTAAAGTTGGTTGATGGATCTGTTCTTACCTGCAGTTTTTTGATTTGGAAAGTTGTGTTAAGTAAAAGCTTTTGGTGCATGTTCTATTTAGAGCTCATTTGGCAACCAGCTAAAAAATTCACTTGTTTTTTGAACTTTTTGTCTTTAGTAATTGTTTTTCTAATCTGTGTCTATTTTTTATTTTTTACTTTTCCGATCCGTCTAGTGAAAAAGAATCTAAAAAGTTAAAAAATTCAAAAAAAACTCAGCATAGACACCCCCCCCCCCCCCCCCCAAAAAAAAAAACCAAGAAAGCCGACTTTTTATTTTTGTTTTTGTCTTTAGTGGGATTTTTTTAATTATTTAAAAAAAATTCTTACTTTTTTGGTTTGTCTAGTCAAGTAAAACCTAAAAGTCTAGAGCTTTTTGGTGGGAAAAAAAAAAAAAAAAAAAAAAAAAAAACTGGAAATGAAAAGAAATCAACAAAAAAAGGCACTAAAAATGCCAATCCCAAATAACCCTTTTAGTCCCTTACTCAAATGGGGTGCTATTGCCATTGATGTTCTTTTTCTGGGTGGTGTTGTCTGTTAAAGATGATCATGGAAAACAACTGGGGCTAACCCAGTTGATCAGAATCATTGTACTGTTACTAGGGGTTTAAGGGTTTTAAGGGTTCAAGATTCTTTTTTCCCAGCTACGGCTTCCAATGTACCAAAAAAAAATATTGATAGCATGTGTGGCCTATATTCTTATAAAATGTTGTTGATCTAGTGTGAAAGCATAAAGCAAGGAGTTGCTATATGTACCTCATTAAGTTTCTTGCTTGCAATCTCCAAGGGTTTGTGTACTTGGTTGAAGATACAGTTCACTCTCTAGTTATGAATATTCTTGTGAGTTTTAGAAATTATTATTTAGTGGAATCATTAAATTTCAACTTTCATCCTAATTTTCAACCAAAATATTTTTAAGATATTATTATATTATTATTATTATTTTAAATTTCTAAGTTGTTTGAGAGCTTGTAATTCCCTTCTTTCTTAATAGTAAATTAATGCAACTTGTAATTTGTAGCTACTTCATATGTAAGTTTAAGGTTATTTTTTCCCCTCCAAATTTTGATGAATTATTAAAAATTAGAACTATTAGTAATCTTCCATAGAATGATATTTGGTTTCAAGTTGGCAGCACTTCTTTCCTCTTGGAGAGTAGCTTGGGTGCGTAGGAAAGGACAGAAAAGCTTGGTATTTGGTGTCTGTGGATTGTAGAGGTTGAGTGGAATGAAGGGAAAAAAAAATTGATGGCAAAGAAGAGCCAATTTTAGATTAAAGAGTACTGTCTTTTTTGTGCAGTTGGCTCTTGGGCATGAAATTTTTTTCCCCCAGCTACAAAATTTCCCAAATGCTCCTAATACCCAAACTCACAGACACCCATGCCCAAATTAAGGCTTTAACCCCCAACCTCCCCTATGGAAGTGTTGGGGTGATGCCACAAGGCCATTGGCGGTTCTTGGGCAGGCTATTCCATTCCATTCTTGAGCCAATTTTTTAAATTTTGTAGAGGCCTTTAAATGGGTTTTTAATGTATAGGTGATGCATATATTTTTGTACATGGGTGTGCGCCCTTGGTGCTTTTTAATATTTTTACTTTTACTTGATAAGAAAGATATTGGTTTGTCAAAAGTTAATAATTAATAGATATTATTCAATTATTAAACATCAATTGTTAGAGGGTTAACATTAATAGACAGATGAAACTCCAGTAAGATGTTAGAAGATTACCTTGTCCTCATCATCTACACCCCCCCAGAGTCACTTTTCCTACAGGTTGAAATTTGAAATCCTGCCGTGCATCTTTCTTTGAATTGTTTAATTCGTTAGTGGATTCGCAATGTAAAGAAAATGTCTCTACATCTGCTGATAAATTGAATGATGGCCTAAGATCGCCACTCAATCTCCTCTAGTAATCTCATTATATTTGATGAAGAAAGTAGTATAAATGAGGTTGATAACTCTAACTAGTTGTTTGATCATCCTCTTAGAAAAATTTCTACTTCTAAGTTGAAATGCTTGGCATGTCTCCAAATATCACTGGTACGGCCCATGTGGGTCTCATGATCTTGTTGGGGATTATATGCTGTGATTACTTTTTGGAGTTTCTAGCTGAATTTGTACAATTATATTAAGATTTTCTAAATTTGATTTATGTAAAGTGAGAAAATACGATGCTTTTTATGCCTCTTGCGAATTTGCAGTGTGTAATAAAAGAGAATAAGATGCTTTTTATGCCATTTGTGACTCCAGTTTGGGTGTGTTCTTTAGGTTGGGGGTCTACTGCTGGCCTTGTTTGGTAACCCTTTTGTTTTCTGTTTTCATTTTGCATTTTTTTGTTGCGAAACTAGAATAAAGAACTGTTTGGTATATTATTTTCATTTTTAAAAAAGTGAATTAATTTTAAAATTTTGGAAACAAAAAAGGTGTTTTTTCACTCTCTCGTCCCTCTCCCACCACCCAGTGCCCCTCCAACCACCTCTTGCACCATCGGTTGCTCGGCCAGCTGACTGCCGATGAGCCCCAACGAACTCTGGTCACTGCCCATGACCTTTGACAGCATTCTGCCCACCACCTCTGGCAATTCACCAAACATGTTTATTTATTTTTGTTTTCGAAATTTTTTATACACCAACTGATTTTTGGTCATTGTTTTTAAAGTTTCCCATATATATATATAAACAGAAAACTAACATAATTGTGTTGTCAAACAACACCTTGGATTTGCTGAATCTGACTAGGAATTAATCTGCTGAATCCAACTAATTTTTTTTTTGTTTGCTTGATCCACAGGCCTCAGTTAAAGAAGAAGAATAGCAAATGAAATTGGGAAGAAAGCTTCCTTGTTCTGCATCAGCTTGGAGGATACTTTTTCGCTGGTGAATAACGTTTATCTGAACTGTTATTAATTTCTGCATGTGTATTATTACGCATCGTGTTTCAAGATTCATCCCCTACTGTTGATCATGTTTTGTTGCTGTGGTGTCATATTAACTGCTCTAATGAACACATGCTCTTCCATCATTCTTTTGGCTGCTGAATAACTTTTTATTTTTGTGTGGACTGTTACTCTCTGTGCAGCTGTACTTTTATACATCGTGATGATTCCAGACTCAACCCAACTCCTGATCTTGTTTTGCTGTATTGTAGTGTAGGGATGCAGTCATGTAATTTTATTTTTAAATTTGTACTTTGTAACGTGATGTTTATGCTGACATTACGATGTTGGTAAAGTATTTTAGGATTGTTTTTCGGTCCTCATCACTCGGAAATTGGCCTCAAGTTTGTGATGTTTACAAATAGAGCCGCTGGTGTGAAGAGCAATTTATCTCATTTTATTATTGCAGTTTTACAAATAGTCTTCTCCTTGATGTTTTAGAATTTGATATTTTAGACT